TATACATAGCAGATTAAGATTCAAGAAGATTGATCAGGTGAAAATTGGCAGTTTAAGAAAAAGTATGTCATAAAGTTTTCAAAGACTGTCATCCAATTTAAACAAAAAAAAATGCATCTCGGCTTGAACGACAATGGAAGAGCTGAAGAGACTTAATAAATCCTCAGATCGTACGACCAGGTTTTGCAGTGTTTGTTATTTTTGTTGGAATTGCGATTTAATGCGCACTGCGCGCAATTTCACCTCCTTTCTTTCGATGAAATGTCTTCTGTTGGATAATTGGCTTGCACATAAGAATGGATAAAAGCTGAAGTGACTAGACGCCTTTTGGATCTAACGATTCGACATTGTCCCATTCAGTCTTAAACGCGAGCAGAATTATGCAAATAATGGCTAAGGATTCCTCGTTTATATTTATAATCTAGGTTGAGTTAGTAATAGCATAACGTATGTCATTTCTGTAAAACGCTTCTTTTGTATAATATTACTCGTTGAGGTTGTTATTACCTAAGTTCAGCGTAACACGTGTTTTAAAATAAACACAGTTTGAATATCATTTCACGCATAGCTATTTTGAGTGTAAAATTTTTTAACTGAATTCTGTTGTTGCCGTAACTGGCCACATATAAAACGATTTCCATCAGTTTCCAAAATAAATATTCGTTATAGGAGTTTTGATATCAAACAAAGCCTGATATATAAACATTTACGAATATACTAACATTTAACAACGTATCCGTGTTTTGTTCTTTTTTTATTTATCTGAAATCACAAAACGTCCAATCTGTACGCTTGAAACGTCCATTTTCTTTTTTTAACATTTGTGGAATGTTGGGTCGCGGTATCAAACATCGAATTAATGTTACTAAAAAATAACAATAAGGATATAGAATGAACGTCGGGAAATAAAAATCAATTGGTTGAACAGCCGTTCAGACATTTATCAAGCTTAACAATTTCTTTTTAATAAAACTACTCTTTGTACTGAAAATGTACGGTAATTAATTAAATCAGAGGAAGACACAGGGGTACAGTCTTAACACATATGGTTCGTAGCAGTTCTGTCTATTAGCATAATGGAATTTGCTGGACTTTCAACTGGCCACCAACGCAAGTAATGTTATATATGACATCGCGGGCCATCAGTGTGCTAAATGATTCGGTGAAGCGACACTAAATGGCCCAAATCCGATTGAGTTATGCAAAGCCGATTATATAAAATTAATTGCCCTGGACAGTCACCCAATTTAGTCGTTTCGATCGGAACTACACGATTTACAGACATTATTAGCCGTTCATGCATTACACTTCAATTTGTGAAATATTTAGTGACACTCCTGGATTCGTGCGACCTACCAATAATTACCTGTATTCGTTATCAATTATCGTGTTAAATAATCGAAAACATTTTTTTGACCAAATGTAGTTTAATTTCTGTCAAACTTCTCATTACAGTCGCGGTCATATACGACTGCAAGGGGTTAATTGTTGTCTACAGTGATACTTGCTCCCTACTTATATTCGATGAAAAATCGAAATGAAACAAGTCGAATCCCTCTATCGAACGATTTGTCGCCTGGATGCAGCGACAACGCTCGCCAAGTGAAAAAGTACAGAATTCAACGGCATCCGTGCTGGTGCTAAAACCGAAATGATTTTCCTCGCGCACCTGCGGCTCTGGTTGATTCCGATGATATCCTGTTTCCGGAACGATAGAGGAGCGTATCGTTAACCGAGGAATTAATGGGGCAAGGGATAAGCGTTCGAGCGTGTAAGGCTGAGCTGTGTGAGGAAGGAATAGGTCGAATGCAACCCCAGAACGTGTGCATCGATGTATACCGGAAATCGATTTCTCCCGCGGGAGATTTTCTCATTCGTACGTGAAATGCATTGAAACGCGGACAGGAAACCTAGAAACCCAATAATTAAATGCGTGCAACCTGTGAGAAAATATTCACCATCGTGTTAGACACATGCTTATCGAAGACTTTTGTAGAGAAGGATTTTAATGCGTTAGAATGGCGTAAGGATGGTTTTTTCATCGATCGTTTCGCGAGCAGGAATTTTAAATAAGGATGCGTTCTATGATTGAGAATCGTTTTGTTGAATATTTAGCTAAATAAAACACGCAGGTTTTAAGTCTTCCTTTGTGTAATATATTAAAGAAACAAAACAAGATTGAAATACAAGTCGTTCGATCCGTACGCTGTCGGATTTCTACAAACACTAAAGAATGCACAGAGTGATACTGAATTTTTTATGAAAACAGAATCTCTGGAATTTGTGACGATATCTTTCATTATCGAGATTACAAACGCCGTAGGATAAATTTAAAATACGGAATTTTTTTAATTAAAACTTGAATAACTTCTGTTTGCCCTTTTTGAGAAATGAAGTTCTCATCGCGCACATCGAGATTTTTATTAAACCAATATTTGTCTGTAAAAATATATATTTAAGTTCTCTGTCTATAAAGTTGAACAGATATTGTTTTTCAAACGGCGAGAATTTTCATCTTCATTATTATTTCAATTTTAAAAACGATGGAACTATAGTAAAAATTAGCTATTTCATGGTCGAACCTTCTTGCGAAGCGACTACTCATTTTTCGATTAAATAGCGGTCTTGATCTCGCTAAATACTACGAGCAATGTTTCAATTGCAGAACAATTCACATTGTGAAAATGTTTGAATTTCTTTCTCGTCGCGAATAAAGCGATGACTCCGTCCTGTAATGAACATCTCGGATACAGAAAAACTGTTTAATTTTCTGAGAATGGAAATATACGAGACCGTTACATGGAAAATGTCACAACGTACGGAAGGCTTTTTCCTCTTTTTTTTCGGTTCCAATGGTACAACAAGTATTCCGTAGAGCTCGTTGTTTTTATCACTGTATATAATTAAACATAAAAGAACAGAATTTACAGTTTTATATTTTGTAAAGTAAATTTTGTAAAGTTATAAAGTACAGAATGTCTGTTACAGTTCATAAATTGACTGTTTCGGCCAGCACACCTCGTATAATCGATATTTAGTGTTAAAAAAAAGTGGCAATATGAGCTGTGCTGAAGGCAACAAGCAGTGTTTGCTTTTAATATACTGCGCACGTTTCGATATGGTATTATTAAGGATTTTTGATATTCAAATATTTCCGAGGCAAATAAGCAGTGTACATTATCCTTCAAATGACGTACGAGATTGAATTATTTTCATGCCGCTTCGTCAGATCTCTAAATTAAATATTTTTGTCTTTGAATTTAATACAACCGTTGAATTATTATAATTTCTTGTTAAATTGAAATTTCGAGCAGTATACATCTGATTACATCAATTTACCAAAAATGCGGAATATTCTAACATTGACGGGTTATATTTATCACATGCGCCATGGTTCTCACTAAAAGCAGTCAATTATGTTTGTCGCGCTACAAATTCTGGGCCACTGAGCTCACTGCTCCGAGATCCTTCGGAGAGTTTCATTAACGATTTTCTCGTCGCTTTTGAAGTTGTTCAGTCGTGTAGTGCTCGAAAACATCAGGAAGCTATGCAAAATGCTAATTTCGCTATTTCAATTTATTTTTATTTATACAAGAAACTCTTCAGTTGGTAGAAATATTTTAAAAACCTTAAGCGACAAGAAAATTAACAAAAGAAAATATTGTTTAACCCAGAAAAATAAGAGCATCCTCTTAATTATACTTAACAGAGCGAAAGGCAGAGCTTCTTATACGTTCCAACAATTTAATTTGAAAGTTTAGAACAACTCTTTATCTCAGATTTTGAGGATTTTTGACTACAGTGCTCAGAGATTTTTACAAGAGATTCATTTGTCGACGATAATTACAGTCCGCGGAGATTTTCATAAGAAGAGAACCGCGAGCGACGTAGTAAAAAGTGAAAGAAAAACTTAAAGTTGTCAGATTAATTTCGATCAGACTTCAAAGCATTTCTGAGATTGTATTGCGCTCCCTACTGACACACGATGCAACCCGACTCTTCTCCCCTTTTTACCTTTGCTAACCCGTTGCTTACGCCCACCCCTCGTGCTCTGACTCTCTGTTCTCCTCTTCGTATCGTCGAATGACACGGTACGCCCGACAAAAGCGAATTAACAGCGCAAAAGAAAGATGAACGCGTCCTCGATGACACGTCCGCTCTCTAATGGAGTTTTTCCCCTTAGTAATGAACGGACTTTGAAAACTGATGCGCGGAATTTAAACCGATGAACAACGTTCGAAAGCATTGTTCACTGCCGTGAAGAGATTGGCTCTTGCGTAATGGTCGCAGAAATGCTCGAATTTTCGTTCATTTTTGTCGAGTAACTCGAATTGATAATGACTTCAGGAAATATTCAAACAAAAACATTTCTGTTTGATTTAACGAAACGGTGACATTAAATTGAATAACGATAATATTAATCATCAAAATAATTATGAAATTTGTAAATACAATTTGTTGAATACTTCCAAACATTATCACGATCGCCATTTGAATCGTACCGTTGACTCCGTGCTCTGCTTCTGATGGATTTCAAATGGGGAACTGATTCGATGCATCGGATACAATTAACTGAAGGGAATTGCAATTATATGCACGAATGTCTCCGCGTTTCGTCGGTTTCAGTTAACCACCAAGTCATTTATAACCGGAATGCGGATCCAGATGATCCGTGGTTGACGCGACATCCAATGCGTTGCTCGTGAAACTATAGCGGCTGATTCCCGATAACACATGGCAATGGAATTTAAACAAATTGTTACTACTATTTAAATGAATCAATTGCATAAATGCGTGCGTTATTTGAAGATAAATATTTGGAGATTGGATGAGTCAATGTCAACCTAATATTAATCTGAGAACTTATTTAATTTTTTATGCCCACAAAACCCTTCCTATCCTTTTGCAAAATGAATAAGCAAAATTGAACCGAATTTCTTAGATTAATTTGCCATCGCGTTTGTTCGAAAAGTGAACAGGTCATCTGAATGACGCGATAGTACTCACTGTTGCAGACGGTGGTGGAGGTTTGCCAGAAGAAGAGGAAGTGCACAGTCAACCCTGATCCAAAAAAGTTTCAAGGCAATCCTTGTCCAGGGCTCCCAAAGTACATCGAGGTCGCCTACAAGTGCTGCCCTTGTAAGTAATATTTCTGTATTCTTTTAACATTCGTGGAACGTTGTATCCGATTTTCAAACTACTCACGTGATTCATTCAACGAACCAATTTCTGAGTTGTAGTTAATTTTGCATTTTCTAACTGTTATAACGTAATCTTTTTCAATATATTCAAGAGATTATAGATTCTAAATCTTTGAGAGTTTAAACAAATCTTAATACAGCATGTAGGGTACCTTCTACTTATTTTAACTAGAAGTTGTACGAAGAAGTGAATGACCAAAAAAGCAAAAAACAATTAAAGTGTATTAGTGAGGTGCTCTCTTAAGTCACATGTCACTGTGTCCACGACTTCCAAATTAATTCTTCCACGGTGAAATAGTTTTCTGCAAATGTCTCTGTCCGTCGGTCGGTTGATTCATGACGATACAAGTTGGTTGAGAAGCTTCTTGCGCTAAAAATGGAGAATAAAAAGAAACAGACTTCCATCCAGTGGTAAGATGGCTTTGCAAGAACAGTAAAGGTGTATTCGAGAGGTGGAGGTACGAGTGTAGCTCCTCCAGGTCTGTTCTCGAAGCGAGATCGTTTTTCCTCGCGGCACTTATCGATGCCTTTTTACGGGGGACGTTGAACATTAGTCCAGTTCACCAACTACGCGAAAACCACGGATATCGATGTAGCTTCGAAGGAGATTCTTTGCTCGCCTTACACTAAATGGCGGAGAAACGCGAGGGATTCTTCTTCGACGTACTTCCGTTGATGAACGTCGTTCCGAGCGTGGCTCGCTTTCCCTCGAGCACCCAGTGAGCGATGAATATATCGCGATACGTGTATAAAGTTTTCTGATTTATTCTTTCAATTTACGTGAAAAACGAGTGAGGACGTCGGCGAAGATGACTGATCAAAGACGATGACAAAATGTTTGAAACTTTAACTGAGATGTGTAAGGAAGAGCTATTTGAGTACTTGCAATCCTGAGATGAATTATTTAGGAACCTCTTCTGGTCATGAATTTTTACTTTACTTTCAGTGGAAATGAATATTATTTGATTGTAATATGTCTGTGAATTAAGAAAGAAATATCTCGGCTGGCCAGATAATATTCGATCTGACTACTTAAAAAACAAATTCATCTTACCCAATGATGAAACGAAGAAAATAAGATAGAATATATATGCAGAAAAAACTGAGGTATTCGTACGAATTAAAATTGATTAAGAAATGGAATTTGCTCTCTAAATATACGAATAGTTGTAGTACCACAGTACGAATCACGTTTAATATCATCCCTTTGTTTTTACTTTCATAACTCTATCGTTCCTCAGAAAATGCATGAACTTTTTCGAGTGGTAATCTAATGTTTATCTTTTCCTTAAAATACGGGTTTCGCGTGGGTACGTCGAGACTGTAATAACGCGGATGCCCCGGCGTAAATCCTGTATTATTACGTCTGGGATAATGAAGTCGTACTTTTTACGCCCGGTTCGTCGAGACTTTTTAACATTCGTATTCCTAAGCTTAAGAGACACTCACATTTTTCTGCCCTCGGATCACGAAAAATAGTTTCGCTTTACGAGCCGCAATAAAGAACGAAATAATCGTACCGTACGACCGAGAAAATAAAAACTAGCCGGTATGGAAATTATTTTTCCAGAACTGTGTCTGTATTCAGGGTCGCGAAAAGTTAGCGTGCTTTGGATCGAACGACTGCATCAAACGTTCCCGTTTTCGAATTATTTCGTTTAAAGTAAATAGAAATTCAAGTTTATATAGGTCCACAACTGGAAAACATTTATGATGAGATATTATATACTAAAAGAAATAATATTACTCCAGATATAATGAAGAGATTTACTTTAAGAATATCCATTGAAGTAGCATGCATTTGACTAATGCAACGATAAAACACAATTCGATTTTATTTGTATTATTGTATTAGTCACACTAATGTATTGGTAGTATCTAGTGTTAGGAGCACAGTCCTGACCGACACCCCTAAGCGCAGGACACCTAGCTGCATCGAATTAACACGGTGAAACGTAAAAGTGACTGCGACACGAGCCGCAGAGGCGGGCACAGGCATCCATGGAGCGTAAAACACGGAACGGAAAGAATTACTACGTCCTCCAGCAAAAATTACTTCGGGCTTGTTACCGCAACAGGTTGTCGCGGCCGTATTGTAAATGCACGGATCCGTACGGCGGCGTTCCTACATTTAATATACATAGTTTACTGGCCGAGCAATAAAGAGACCGTTCTGTTTTACGAGCAGCTCGCGTTCCAGCGCGATAGCCCATTCGCTGTGACTTTTTGATTCCGTGACGCTCGAAACCTTTCGAATTTTCAGTTTTTCATACGAACGTCTGGAACGTCGCCATTTTTTTTCGAGCCCCGGTGGAAGAGTCCACGTGAATTCGTCCAGGCTGATAAGCCAGAAGTCACGACCCTAGAAGTTGCTCTATCGTCGCTAAAAAACTTTCACAGTTCCGCTGACTGGGCCAGTTTTGACGTTTTACTACCTCCTCCCGACTCTATACGTATATTTTCGAGAATGAGAAAAATGTTGTGACAGGAATATTGGTCCGAGCAGGTGCCCCGAGGCAGACAAGTTAGGTCACATTCCTTCTTTGCTTTGATGAGTATCATAACTGCAATCTTTCAAAATTTTTCTATCTTTTTGAACATGCTCTTACTAGCCATTCACTTAGCAGCTATTCCAGTGTGATATACATATACGCCAATTCGTATAAAATTTGTTTCTTAGAATCTACGAGGCCAGCTTTTGTCCCATTTAATCCATCGAGTGCATTATCGCATTTATTCATCACCACTTATAGTACTTATTGTCTTCGAAGAGAATACTGGACTCGATTACTTGACGCGTTCATTTAAATTCTCGTAAACATGGCTTCATTCGCATTAACATAGATTACCGCGCGTGTAAATTACTGCTTTTGCGATTTGCCCTACTCTCCTCTAATTTGAATATCGACAAGCGAATAATGCGAACGATAAACATGGAGCAATTGTTTGTGTCTAAAGTCAATCAATAATTAGCATTTACTCGATTACTTCATGAATGTTATATTTACATATAAAATTATGTTTGTCACTCATTCTTCTGAGAAACTGAATTTGAGATAAATTAAGAATTGTTATCTGAATATGTAAATGATCAATTTGCTATACAACTGACGTCTACACTCTTATGTACTACTGATTTCATAAGTTATTAAAGTAATTTCTCCATTACTCGGTGTCTCCTTTTCCAACGATATTCCGACGATACTTTTCAAGTGTTTATGTTTCAAACTTGCCAACAATGTCATTCAAAGTGAAATGTATTCATTGCACGAAATTAATAGTTTTGTTAACACAACTCCAAAGGTTAATGCTGCTAAGAACGTTATGTAAGCTAACCTGGGTGCGAGTAGCTTCTGCTTGTGACATCCTAGTGCCAAGGCAATTAAATCATTTCAAAGGAGGTTCAACTATGCCACCTGCGTTGATCAAACACTGCTAAGGAAACACACTCGTGGATATTAAACCACTCGCTGTACCATATTGCGTCTTGCAATTAGTTTTCATAATAATGGGTCAAGTTATTTGTCGATTAAAGTCTGTTAATGTGCAGATTCAACCAAAAATTTCATCCCGAATCCCAATGTGTTCAAAAATAATTACTCATTAGTAAATTAATTTTGAAATACTGAACGCGAACGATTATGCTAGCTCTGCTTAGCTCTTGAAAGACTGTACAAGGAAACTTTACACATTTTGTTTAAAATCACGTGTAATTTTATCTTGTATGTTATCTGCGAGTTTACACATTTTACTACGAATCTACCGAATTTTATTTAAAAGGTACCAAACGGCATAGTGTTCGATACACTGGATCATGGTTTACCTGCAGAAATTGGATTCACACGGATCGATGATAGAAATACGCATACGCGTGAACGAAAATCCGAGTTCCGTGCCGTAGGCGTGTAAATTGCTTTCGCGAGATTAATGTCACCGTGCTCAACGCGCTAAATCGCCGTTTAATTAAATAAACGACGTCGCGCAGAAGTGTTTTCGTCCACGCCGGGCCAGCTGGACGTCGAACGATAGTCGTTAGGTTTAATCATTCGACAATTAGATCAATCATTTGCCTTCGGTGAAACAAAAAAACTCAATGCAGAGAATTCTAGCGCCACAAAGTTCAATTACGAGCGAATCGTGGAATACAATTGTTGCGCAAATATCCGAGAAAAAAGTGTAAATAGCTTATCCAGCGCTGTGCAGCTAACGAGAAACTTGTTAACGATAATTTGATAGATTGCCTCTCTGTGATCAGTTTTTCAACTCATTGTTTTACAATTAACTCCATCATACATTTTTATGGATTGAAAACAGATTTACATTTGTTAGTGGAATTAACACAACATGCAATCGTTACTATTTTTTTTGTTGATATTTTTTTTAAACTAAATCTTGTTCATTTAATTTCGTTTTAAAAATGAATTTATGCTTGGTCATTTTTATAACCTATATATATATATAGGTTATATTAAACTCTGGAACGCCGGATGAATGCATTTCTGTACGTTTTCCCCGCAGTCATGTTATCAAGTAGATTCTCCGATAACTTTGCGAAAGAACCCTTCTTCTTTGGTTAAAATCTTGTCTTCGTGCTGGTGAAGTTTCCCGTCCAAGTTTGTATAAAATTGTAATTTCGGAAAGATTAAAATTTTCGATGAAAGGTGAAGGCACCCAAGACAGTGCTCAAAACTCGTGTCCTTGCGATTAAACATGGCGAGTACGATGAGGAAACTTGGAAAGAACTTTCTAACTGCGGGAACTGAACATTTACCGACCGACGCTGTGGAAAACGTCTAACGTTTGATTAAAAAATACGTTCGAGCATATTTCTATTGTTAAAAATATGCATTTAATTATATGTTTTGAAGAACGCAAATTTATAGTATTCCATGAGTTTTTTATGTTTATTAAAACTGTTTAATTCCAATTAGATATAACTATGCAGAATATCATTCAGAAGTAATTTAATTAAATTTAATTAATTTACTTGCAGTATATAGAAAATATTAGACGAATTTTATTATTATTAAATAGTAAAGTCTTGATTTTGTTATCAGCTTTTGAGTATTTGAAGGCTGTTAATTAAACAAAGGTTTGTTTGGTACGACTAGTAATGCATCTAATTTCTTGGAAACCATACAAAATATAAAATTAAGGAATCCTTTGAAAATTGAGGTCTTAAAATTGATTGCATTTGTTTAATGGATCCCTGGACCGTTTACTTAACGAGAGTTTTTCTTCACTGGCTGCTAAGAACTGGATTTCAAGTTCTCTTAATTATGTCTTCAAAGTAAACGGATGTTGGAAGTTTTTACCTGAATCAGGATTCAATTGCATGCACCTTCTGTGCTTCAATCCCATCCACTAGCAGGGTCTTCATTAATTCTGTCTATTAAGACGTCTGTTTACTCGGTTGAATTGAGTCGAGAGTGTTTAAGATGAAAATTCACGTCAAGTGTTTTCCTTCCTTGAAAAAATGAATGTAATTACCTACCTTCGTGGGATTGCGGTTGTATGAAACGAATCATCACGATGCGAATAGTAGTATAATTAAGTAGATCAAATGTATAAAAATACAACAGTATATTCACTTACAAGAGCATCAAATAAAATAGTAATTAAAATTCAGTTATTGTACAATATATGAATATAAATAAAAATAAATAGAATTATATGTCCCAAATTAGTCTATTGCAAGGAGTACTAGTCAAAGTATATTTTAATAAATTATATACTAATAATGTTTTTGTTAACCTTTTGACGATAAATTATGTTTATTTGCAAACGTATTCAAAGGGGTAATTTGAGTGTTTGTACTTTAAGATTCAATTAATTAAATTAAATTACTCTGACCTTTTTTTAACTTTATCAAATACAGAAATATTATCATAAATTATAAAGCTTGAGCATATAAAGACGATATACTGTTTATAGGAGTTACTGAGGAATCTATAAATGTTTATCAACGAGGTACTCCTTTCGATGAGTATTCTCGAGCATCAACTCGATTAATGTTCTCAAGCATTAATAGAATTTCATGTTTCCGAGGTAAATATACAGTTGAGAGAGCATTAAGAGGGAAATTCGAGTGTTTAAACGTTCCAGGAGAGGGGAAAAAGGCATAGTTGAACGAAGCACGTCTGACTTATCACGCGTAGGTGCAATAAGTGGCACGTGTGTCGTCGAATGGCTTTGCGGCCGACACGTGAGGTGTGGGGCTGGCTTTGACACATAACGTGACACGTGCAATATGTAATCGTCGCGTTGACGCATTGCGCTTGCATTACCGTAATTATCGTGCATCCCCCCCCCCCCCTCCCCCGGTCTTTGCCACGATATCTACGGATTGGCTGATAATATCTCTTTACGAGCTCAATAATCCAAGCTTTTCTATTTGTTACGTAAAATTGAACAAATAATTTATGCATTATATAAAATGTCTTGGTGTGGACTGCATTTATAACAAGTCTAAAAAAGATACGAATTAAAAGAGATAGCTATTGTCAGTCGTGATTCGCATAACGACCTTCTACTTGAGGAACATGAACCAAGACAAAGATACGCGCTTAATCTTGTCTTCTGTCGTAGACAAGTGAATCGTCGTCACAGCGGTTCACGCTCGGGCATCCGCGAAAACTGAAGGTTCCATCGAAAGTGGGTCAATCGAAGAGGCAGCCGTTTGCTGGAAAAGCTCCGAGCCAGGTCCATTGTCGCTTCGAGTGGTCGAGCATGCTTGGCGTCGAGAGAATTACCTCTTATACCCATTCCACTGTGTCTTTTTTCGAGACCTTCTTGCCAATTAAAGCTCTAGACTGAGCGTCTCGCTCGAAGCATTGCTCGATAAGGAAGTTCCTGGTGGCGGTTCCGCTTTCTTGCGGAATTTCACGAGCCATTGATACTCTTAGCTTTGATGAGCCCCGTTGTGTTACATGCTCGACAGGTCACTTTAACATTGGCCAGAATCCTAAGCTGTTAATTCAGGAACCTGGAGCTTCTGAATTTCGTGTGTACTATTCAAACAGGTTCAATTTCATTTTCTTTTTTATTTTCGTTTTTTGTGGAACATCACGTTTCTGAAATAAACGATTTGTTGGTTTATAAAGTCAATGATGCGAGTCATAATTTTTCTGTATACTCTCAGACCTGGGGCGTTGCCGCGACCACGGTACAAGTTCGAAAGTCCGCGAAGGAAGAGCTCAGCCGTAAATCGCCAACTCAATAAAGCAGGACATAACACTTTGTCTCAGGTATAAGTGCACTTGGCGACTTCCGAAGTGAGCAGGCTATAGCGGTTTGTTTCGCGTAAGAGGGGCTCGCGCGTTGAAAGTTGAAAGGTTGCCCGCGAGGGCAGGGACCACCGCCCCCGCAAGGCAACCGACCACGGCAAACAACGACCATACGTATCAAGTTCCAGCGGTGTTTCATCCGCTTCCGGGAACGAATAAATTCATTCAAGCTGACGCGACGGTAACGACGTTATTAGCTGCATCCCACTGGCAGACGGAGAAATTGTTTTGTCTGTTTTCGTTTTCGATTTCCAGGACATCTTTAAGCAAATAAATTCTAGTCCAATCATTTTAGGTATAACAATAGAAATATCTACTTAAATTCTACTTTTCGACGATGGCCTTGTTTATTTTTAAGTAAATAAATACCTATTCATTTCAAATGTACGTATTTCTAGTGTAGGAATAATTAAAAGTTAAATTTTAGTATTTCACGAACGAGCATTAGAAAGTAACCATTTTGTCCAACCATGAATTTAAATTTCCAGCTTACAAAACATCAGCATCGCGTTCCCTCGCGAGTGCTACAATTTATAATGAGCAATTACGTGAAAGTTTCGAATGTAACTATAAGGTACTTAAATAACACACTCTGAAGTTCCCAGACAGGATTATTAATTCGACGTAGATTTAATATGTATATTTAAAATTTATGGACTTTTACGACGACTTCTGAACAGTAACTAGTAGCTGTACGCGGAATACGTAACTAACGATCAGTATGCGGTATGCGGAGTTTTGTCAAACTCTGTATGCAGGAAAACGTTTTGCATTTTGAGTGGCCGAGATAATCATCTTATTCATGATATTCAGTTACAGGGTTTATCGAAATCTCTACTGCATTCCAGCTGTGATTTATCCAGATTATATAGACAAATTGTTTTTCTTATTGCGTGCCTCATAACGTTATCCAATAGTGTACGATGTAACCTACGTTTTAAGTCAGAAAATATATTTAGAGAAATTAATTTTTTTCGTGGCTATAAAGGTTTCATTTTATTCACTGTCTGAGGGATGAAATTGGGAAAGCGTCCTGCTATCTCCAACACCCCACCTCCGCATAAGTTCCAAAGGTCTATTATCGAGTACGTTCGAAGATAAAAGTCTAGTTCCTTTGTTCGTTGCATCAGCTTCATATGTATAACATTCCACGAGATATTTTTATGCGACCACCGCGCCATAAATTTGATCTACTGGCACAATGACCCGTCGCGGTCTCCGATAGGGGTCCGCGACCGGTAATTCTCGTTGGAATTTAGTCGAATGTGTAACTCGTACGTCGACCTCAAGCAAGAACAGGTGAAAATCCGTGGAATGTCGTAACCATGGCCCCCAGCAAGAATGACGACGCGAGGACACGACGATCGCTACCGCAAAAACGCATTATCGGCAGCTGGAGGGGACGCCCGATTCGGTTAGGTTCGTTGAAACCTCACGTGCACCGTGAACTGTAACGAGTCGATGTGGGTTTTATCGAAACGAAGACGTCCTCGCAAAAAGCGTCCCTATTTGTACCAGTCCTCGTACGATTTCATTGGACGCGTCATGTGCACGCGCTTGGAACGAAAATTATCGCGGTGTACATGGCTACTGGCAATTTTGAAACAATTACGATGAGACAATCAACTTTTCCTTAGACTGTTTACTATCGTCGATCGAGGTTTTTAAAGCAAGCTGCAATTGTTGAACTTTTTAGGGGAAAGAGAATTTATATTTCGTGGATTAGATAAAGTTGGTTTTTGTTAGATGAGGGTTTTTAATTTTTTAAATTTTATAAATTGGACATAATATGAGGTACGTGTTATTACTGTGCTGGTATAAAGTGTTGTATTACTAGAACTATTGAACGCAATGCATAACTGTTAAGGGTATAAATGTGTTGTTGAAGTTATAGCCTTAATTCTATTTTAATAATTAACAGTTAATAGTTAACAGTACAATATCTTAAGTATTGGAAATCTTATAGAACTCTTGATCACCATCGAGCCTGTTCTTTTGATTAAGCGAAGCAGTAATGGAGCGGCATCGTTAAAGTTGAAACTCGAAGATGTAATTACGTTTTATGCGATGCGATGGTAAAAATAGAAGAGGAGCGGCGAATTTATTAAAAACTTCTTTCTTCTTCCAGATGAGTTCAGGAGTAAGGTTGCCTGTGAAAATGACGTCATCAATCTTGACTGTCATCCTGGACAGAGGGTAACCATTTTAACCGCATCGTTCGGTAGAACGGCACACGAATCACACCAGTGTCCACAGCCGCCTGGCGTGAAAGAAGAAAGTGAGTAAATTTCATTGCATTCGTATTTTTCAACTAAATATTGCTTTCATAAAGAAATCATATCATGATATAAGAGTGTTCATTGTTTTCTTCAAAATAATATCATCACAAATTCTTGTAGTTTTATTTCACTACTGGGAAAAAAGTAATCGCGAACGAATAATAAATAAATTGAATGTAAGCACAGTCTAAGCTTCATATTGTTGAAAAGATTAGTAACACTGTCAGAGGTTAATGTTTTAGTAATTTCATTAGATATTGTTTCCGAGACGATCAAGTTCCCAGGATGGATAATGACTGAAAAGATATTCGGAACTTAGGTCGGTCATTAAATGTTTACGCGAGCGTAAACATTTATGGTTGTGCTGTTACAGAAAGTATATATAGGGTATACAGTTTAATGTCAGCTTATGAATCTCGAGGAGCAACTCAGTTTAGCACAAGTTTCGAGATCACGCTATAAACTCTTTAATTTTGATAATACGTCGTAGATCAGTCTCACTTTACTGCTTACCGAGAATTCAGCCACCAGCGTTTGAAAAATTAAATGTGTACTACGATCCTTTATGAAATTTTCAATTTTAGTGTCATTGCAAAGACTTGTATAAGACAGAGAAATTTCAGAATAATTCTACCCTGACTCTTTAGTATATTATTACACATAAAAAATGAAAATTTTTATTTCAATCTATTGAATAAAGTAGATGCGTGAATTTAAAATATTGAATCTCATCGAGAGGTAAATCACACATTGGAAGTGTAAAGGTCAAATAAAGAATAAAAATCTTGAAAATTTGCGTGTTTGTATAACGCTACGATATGTTTAAGTAGACGAATACGTTGGATTTAGTTTAAAAAGATGTTTAAAATAAGTGTGGAATATTTTTGGAAAGTATTAACTATGAAATACCTACAGAAAAGAATGAGAGTATAGATGAAGAAAATGTAATAAAAAATAATTTAAATATTTCTTCTCTGCATATCTTTTTAATGATTGCGCTACGAAAAGAAAAGAAATAAATAGTATTTAAAGTTCCTTTTACATTCGACATTTGTATCTATCTGTGTGAAATGCAAGAATTTCCGAGTTCTTTACGAGGCACTGAAACTATGGCTGGGGTCACCATCAACCCCTTAGCAACGATATCGGTACGGCACTCCCGCGAGAACACCCTCGAGAACATTGAAATGCCATTGGTCACGTATCACTTTCTGTAAAAAGGATCCCATTTGACTCGCTGACTTCAGCCTCTTTATCCTTTTTACCATTGAAACCTTCTACAAATGTTTCGGATTATCTGGCTCTCAAACTTTTAAATTGTAAGTTTTGACCCAGAAAAAGGATTTCAAAGTGTCCTTAAAATTCAGAAACATCCCTCGAAACCCTTCTTCCCGTAGAATGAAGAATCCAACGCATTTCTGGTGGTCCCTAGTGAAACGCTGACAAACGAACAAACAAACGGCAAACGGCCGCATTTGCTAAATGGGTAAAAGGACGAACAGTGTAAGCAGTTAATCGACTGTGCATTCGAATGATAAAGATGGCGTTCCAGTTGAATTGTTTCGCAGCTCTTGCACAATATTTTTCAAGGACCAGTACCCATTTGACTGTCGAGTAACGTTACAAACTTGACTCGGAACGATTCGTCCATCAATTTTCCGACGTCGAATAAATTCTGTAGTCGATCTGGGTCTTCTTTGGGGTCGTCTGATCGTTCTGACCAATTCAAAAGCTTCTTAATGTTCTTGGGGTCAATCAATCGAACGTGACAGTGAGGAACAATGACGTAATAGACCGTGGAATGAACTCGCATAACATCGTTGCCGGTGATATTGTATCAATCTACGTGTTCCTTCATCCTGTGACAGATTGGACTGGTTCTGCCACGTCATTCGCACAAAGGTGCTGTTAGGGTGACCGACGAGAGCCAGGGGTCTGACACATTGTAACATTATTAATATACCATCATCGGTAAGGGTTGCTCTGCTTAATTTATTAGACATTGAATATCTATGAATTATTCAATATTGAATATTGAAATATTAAATATATATTAATAATTACCCTCCCGCGTTATCAATATATGTATGAGCATTGGTTCGGTTGTTTGGTTTAATTTATTAAATATTTAAAATCTATAAAATATTGAATAGGGAAGATTGGATATTTAAAATATGAGTATTTACTAAATAAGTTCGATTCAATCCATTTATCGAGGATTGATAGAAATTTATAAACCCCTTTAAAGGAATCAGAGTTATAAGTTACAGTAAAATAGTATAGAATATTTCTAACTTGTGAAGCAATCAGAACGTATATGAATAAAACATGTGTTAAGCAATAAATACCATGCAAAAAGTTTTCCACTTATTTTTAAGCTCCACGCTATGAAAACTGCTTAAGCAAATATCCATGAAGAAGTGTCTGCACATATATGCATAAATTATATTTATATTCATGCTATACAAAATATGAAGGGAATAAAATCCACGTGCAATTACGAAGCACACAAAACGTTTGTTACAATATCTATTAAATTAACGATGTTACGATAAAGACTGACCCTTGTGTTAATTATACTCACTCAAGTAGTTTCGATTTCCTATTACTTTATGAATTCAACCATGAAGTATTCACAGTATGTTCAAACAGTATGATTAAACACTTTCGTGCTTTTCAGATTCGTTTGTCAATGTTCGATTCGGAATTCGGGTCGAATGTCGGGTTATTAGTCACGGATTGATGAAGTTGACACATCCCATTCCGCGTTGTAAAGTACACTCTTTAAACCGGCATTCAGGTTCTCGGTTGACAAACGATCCGCGCGATTTCTGGCAAATTGAAAAACCATTTTTAGCGAAGCTCCGTATGGACAGGGTGAATAAGTCAATTTCGCCTGGTTACAGACTGCATGGCGTCATATGCGACGGAAACTGTGAGGCGTTTGTGCCACGGAAAACGACGTTGCTCCGTGGTGGCAAACAGTTCGACGTTCGGTGAACCTTGCAACCTGGATACCAGAACTTACTTGAGGGTCGTCTACACCTGTGGTGAGTTACCAAGTCTCTTCATACATACATACTTACATGTTGTCGCAATGCTCTCGTCATTGAAATATTACATTGGAATAAAGTAGAAGCTTTTGAATTTGGAAATTCTAATTTAAATGAAACGTTGTTAAACAAATTTTACAGTATTATATTCCCTTTAAACGAAAAAGCTTTTTATACATAAGGTTTTATAATAGAGCAACTACAAGGGATAAAATTATATCTATTGTAATATTACAAACATCGTTCACCAGCAAATATTAAATGTATAGATCAGAGTACATTTTCGCTGTAAATATTTTTATCAACTGAATATACCGCGAGAAACTTTTTTTTCTGCCTCCATACCAGACATTGGTATTAGAAAATTCTCATTCGTTCGATGGAATATTGTTTTCGGAGCCCGAAATTGGTTCCCCGATGCGATAACGACTCTACTCGCAATCGCTAAAAAAACCAGGTCATATTTGGACATATTTTTCGAGTGATCAATGCGGCGGAACATTTGTTTCCGCGGAACCTACCGTGTGCTTGCCGTGTTCCCATGAATTTCATATGAAACCGTTCGCTCCTGATAGAAAAATGTTCGTCGTTTTGTAATAAATCGCCACAAATTTTTAATTCGCAGGTGAAAATCAACGCGCAAATGAAACATCGAATTCAATTCGGAACGCGAATACAAAAAGTTGAACGGTCCGCCATGCACGCGAACAATTTTAACGGACAATGTAACATCCGCGGTGCATTATTCACTTTTAGGGAGTAATTTAATCACACGAATTTCAGGGGATGCTTTTATTTAGTCGTCATTCCGTTAAACACAATTTGAAACGATAATCATAATGTATTCCGACGCGTTGACGTTGATTTCTTTTTCGTTGCTGGTAATAGATGTTTTAAAATACAATAGAAATGCAGCGTTTGGGTGTTGGATTTTTTAACAGTTTTGATTGCTTGTTTTTGGTATATTAAATAGAAATTAGAAACAACATAAAGAAATCACAAAGAGTTATTTACAAAATGCGAAAACATCGATGTAACAAGTACTAGACATGGAATGAATGTGCTGTAAGCCACCAAGATATATTTTGCAACAGTGAACGGGCCAACGTTGTGAGGACCAACATGACGATTAAAAAATGGCTGGTATCTCAATTTGTGGCCTAATGACCGAACAACGCAATGGTCGTTTATGGGTTGAAGGTTCGCGTCGATCCCATGAATTGACCCAAAAAGCTCCAGGACGATTGACGCGAGCTCTCGCTCGCGGCAAGTTCCACTGTTGGCTTTTCACTCCGGATGGCTCGCTTCTGTACTTAATGGCCAGTCAGTTCGAGCGAAAGGACCAGCTTAATAGCCATTGTTTGAAGCGGTGGGAAGTGAATAATGATCGGTCGCATGCCACCCCTAGGTCGTACCGATGCTAACCTTCAATACCTCGAATACCACGATTTTCGAGTACGCCAAATGAGAAGGGTTCTTTCCTAGCTTTCGCCGTTTGTTTTCCAGCAATTATTTCAATAGTTTTTGACGAGATCCAGATGCTGGATGCTCTCGATCAGCCATTACTGGAAATAGTAGTCTAACCCAGTTACACATAAGTATGTGGACACTTCCTTAATGGAAGTAAATATTTAATCAAAGTTACGAATCTATTTATGTTGCATAATTTTTGTCTAATATTACATTAGTAATGATAAAAAAAAATCCGGAGAAATGACTACATAATGTTAAAATTTCTTTTACCAAACTTGGATGCTATCCATTATTTGTGTCAGAATCAATTATTCTCTCTGCACAGACGTTGCATGTCTATGGTACACGAAAGAACACAATATCCACACAAACTGTAGCGATATAATATTAAAATAATTCCTTGGTTATTTATTCAATTTGAAAACCATCGTATCTTTAATTCTGTTTATCTGAAAAGCATTAAAAATTCAAGGCAAAGAATGAATGTACTCTACAAAGTACAGTATAAGAAATTAAAATACACGTGACCAACAGATCCAAAGGGATCAATCGCAAACGACGTTAAAGCTCCAGCAAACTTGAAAGAACGACAAAAGAACATAAGGGAAATTCGGGGGGCGTTTCGGACGCAGAACCCAAGAAAACGAGCCCTCTAGATAGCCTTTCTGGCTTAGGACGTCAGGTCTGGTAGTTTAGCTCGCGACAAAGGCGACGTGAAAAGACATCAGGCGACGAAGGGCATCAGGAAAAAGAAGACCGTGCGCGAAGCGTCTCGACAAAGGATTGCGTAAAAAGCACGCGGGCGTCGGAATTTCGTAATCTCGGTCTCCGTGCCGCGGAGCGTGAAATTTTCAAAAACAGCCCCAGCTATCTAACCGCGGGCCACTAACGACTCCCCCGATAGTATCGTTCGCCATCTAGCCGGGTGCATTTCCGCGCAAAATTCCAGAATAATGATACCGTCTGGCCTTTAACGACCGCCATGTCCGTTCGACCAAGAATTCGCCCAGGCATCGAGCGTATACAATGCACCGTAACGAGCGGAGTCCGTTCCTTGTAACGCAAAGTTATTTCATTGTGCTCGCGAGCCGCGCCGCGGAAAAGCGAGAAGACTTGGAATCTCCACCACCTCCACCCCCCTGGATCCTCCGTTCTCCTGCGTTCTTTTCTTCCTAACTAGGTTGAGAACTCATCCGGATCCTGGCCGTGGACATTTTTAATGGCACTCACGACCACTTTTCCGTCGCGAACAGTGCAACATTGTAGCAGCCGCGACGCCGAGTAACGACCGCTCCGCTCCCATTGTCGGGCGTGTTTACGGCGTCGCATCGAGCGGAATTGCGCAGGAAAAATAAACGGGGAAACGAGGCTCGTTACCGTCCCAGATGGTGCTCCGCTTCGGCTATCGGAGTTGATCATCCTCGCGCTGACTTCGCGGCGAATCGGCTTATGGGGCACTCTATTTTTTCTGGCTCAAAACGTACATTTTTGTTTGTATGCTCTTATTGCTGATGGTTTTTCAAGAGTTTCTAAGAAATTACATTTAAAAAATTGCTATACCGTAGAAATTGTAACTGTTTATATCATGCATAGGTTGATTGAATATGGAACTTTATGGTGATACCCTTTCATTTTTGAGCCAAAATAGATTTTGCTTTTTATATAATGGGAGTATTATTTCTTATACGACGTCAGACCGATTTAACGTTTGCGTAGAATTTCCATGGAGAATGAGATAGCGAAGAGAATGTGAGTAACTTTGAAAATACTACTTTAACCTAATCTCTGCACCGAGCTTGTAAATGCATAGTTTAGTTTCGATCACAAGGTGAACGCGTGAAAAAGATCGGAGTCTCACGCTGCAATTATGAAATTGCAAAATTACGCGGTAGCCTAATATCGAGAGGAAACATTACGCATTACCGAGGCGAGTAACGACCACGAGCGGTTGCAATTAATCATGCCGTCGCGTGTCGCTGCGCGAAACTGACAGCGGGAAAACGGTGATCGCAGCTTAATGCGCTGATCTGAAACTGATACGTCGGGATTCTAAGCTTCCATGCGAAAAACGCGATTAATATTGCATTAGCCTAAGAGATGCTACGTCTTGATTTCACCGGTCGCAGCTTTCACGCGTCATTAATATGCAAGTAGATTGCTGCAAATATTTGCATTCGCGCATTTGTCATCCCCAACGATTCGAGAATTCAACATGTTCCTGTTTCCCCTCGTTCCACTGGATGTATGCACACCAAGGAACAGCCCGTGAGTCCGTGTTAATTGTTTTGCGCACGATTCTAGTTATTCTTATGTTAATTGGATGGAACTGGTGGAAAGTATTAGCCGAAGTTTGCTAGATGGATGTGACATCGAATTTAGCTGGACAAATACCTCTGCGTAAGTCGTAAATTAAGATTTATACTGTACGTTCGTTCATATTCTTGCGTTAATTGGATAAAATCACGTGGGTATTAGTTGCTAAGCCAGTGTCAACTGAATTTCATATGTAATTATGGTAGATTCGTGAAATGTGACTAATACTTTTAGTGCTGGTTACGTTATCAAAATTAAATTATTGATGGGTCTCATACGTACATATCATAGGTGACATGCGGGGATAATGGGTTTAGCGATGCATTATAATTTACAATGCAAATTTGCCCACGTAACTATCTCCGCATGTTTAACATAGGATTTGATTAAAACATTTTTAACAAAGAATTTTGAAGTGAACTTTCAATCGAGGAATTCTTTCTCATTCGCCATGTTTCATCTAGCTTCAATATTTGCCGCCGTGAGTATAGTTGTAGGGATTGTTTGGAAGCGGTACTCGTTACATAAGCCACTCTGTTGGCGGAAGAATCTCTCGTTGCAGTTGAAAGAACGCTTCCCGCGTCTCGTAAGGGCGAAACGGAAGAGTCTGCGACGACGAAGAGCTCGCAATTGTTGTTATTGAGAGAAAATAACAGGAAAGAGCTGTGACATTTAACTTTAGTTTCTGCAACAAGTAAACTTCTTGCTAGGGAGGCGACTGTTGCAGGCTTTTCCAGCTAAATTGGGTGCTATTTTGGGTTTCTCTTTGGTAACGTCGAGTAATAGACCGTCGAGAGTAACGAGGTACCACTTGAGAACTTCTGGGGGGTTGCGTCTACCGGAACCCTATACCTATTCACTTAAGGGTCGCGATATTATTTATGAATCTAGACGGTAATATCTGTCAAACAAGACTCCACCTTTCGAGACGCAGCTTGATTTTCTGGGGAAAATATTGACGTTTCGTTGACTGGAGCAGTTTCTGGTTGAATAAATCTTTTCTTAATGAAGAATCCATAAGAACAATATAAGAAAAGTGAAGGATCAAGGACAATTTATTGGCCCCTAAACAGAATAGTAGATTTATGAATACATTTCAAAGTAATATTGGATCGTAAGATTCATAAATAAATATACCACTTCATAGAGCTCTTGAAATTGGACAAAACACAATAATTGCTTGTCAAAAACATTCTTTACTCGTTGACTAC